TTTTTTTTTTTTTTTTTTGTAGAACTGGTCTGATAAATGCTGAGCTGGGTATGCGGGTTGATTAGCATTTGGAGCACAAATTCCCCATTGTGCAGTGCTCCCCTGCTTCGCTTTGCTGATCCCAGAATTCACTGCAGTCTCTGCTTCAGGTTTTCTGTTCTCCATCGCTCATGTAAATGAATGGTCATCTGGTCCCATCTCAGATGCAAATAAGACCTAGGGCAGTTGTTTCACTTTTGTCACCCTTATCTGGAGGGTTTTAGGTGCGTCTCTCACTGCATCTTAATCAGTTTCTGTTTAGGTGTGGGGGGGGGGGATTCTTTGTGAGTCAGACAGTCCATGTCCTGTGTCAGGGTTCCCCAAGAACATGGAGCTTGGAGGTAACAGCTGTGGGCATCCTTCATCTTACCTGTTGAAGTTTGGCCACTGGACATCAAGGAATAGAGGAGTCACAGGGCCAGAAGTACAGTGAGCACAAGCTGCCCAGTGAAGGAGAGAGCCCTTGTTCCTGGCCCTGCTTTCAGACTTTTTGTTCACATTTTATCCATTGACAATGTAATACAAACTTCATAAATAGCATTGAGAATGGAGACTGAAGATACAGGGTGGGGGCATTTCTTCCCTTGATATCAGTATCAAGCAGTCACTCCTCAAGGTTTTTCTCTGCCTCAAGAAGCAGAAATGTATGTAAGTTTTATCAGCTTCCCAGATGGTACTGGCTCACAATTGAACCTGGCTGAAGGAAGACATGAAGGTGACTGTCTGGATCATTTCTGAGCATGCACAGTAGGCCAAGTCTAGTCACCCATGGGTCTTTCCAGGTTAAAAAGGAGAGAGAGAGAGCGAGAGAGAGAATATGGGCATCTTAGCAGGTTGTAGATGCTGTGGAGGGTGAATTTCGGATTTTATTTAGTGACATTGACACCTAAACCTCTAAATGCTACTTAGATGGCCTGGAGGTGGAATGGGATCTGGGCCTTAGTCTTTTAAGTCAAGTATCCTCATTTTTAGATGGAACTTAATTTTTTTAGGTTGTGTCAATTGCTGGCCTGCAGTATTTCACCAAAACCCTAGTGGCATCCTCCTACAAGGAGCTGCTGAGAGTCATTGTCCCTGCAAAGGGGGTACATCTTAGTGCTAGCTTCCCTCTTGTACTGAGAGAAAGATGCGTCTGTGACCCCTCTTTAAGAGTTGTAACACACTTGCACATTAGAGGGGCACCCCATCTTGGCATCAGGACAGGAACTCCTTTGCCAGTCCCCCTGCAGGTCAAAGCTAATTAGCAGTCTAGCTAATTCCTGCCCTAGTATGAATGAGTTACTGCCCGTGGGAACACCTGAAATGCAGCTCTAGTGCTTCCCAAAGTAACAGTGTTGTAGTTCTGGTCAGCCAGGAGGATGCATCCTGAAATATTCAAATTTTAGGATGCATCTCTTTGAAATTTTGTTGCTTCATCCTAAATTCATGTTTGTTTGAGTTAACTTTAGGGCATTGTTTGGTCCCTTGTAATCCTGCCTTCCTCTTTAAGCATGCTTACAAATTTAAGACACAAATTTAAGACACAGCTGTACAAATTTCAGTACTGCCCCAACCTGAATCTGGAGTGGCACTAGGATGGGGGCTTCTTCCCCTACCCCTGTGGGTCAGAGACTGGCAGGGGGAAGGGCTGAGCAGTTGGCCTGGCAGTGCAAGGGGGAATCAGCCCTGGTGTGGGGCTCTCCGCTGCTGGCTGGACCCCAGGCTGGAGTAGAGGGAAACCCCACCTTGACATTAGGACAGGGACTCCTTTGCCAGTCCCCCTGCGGTCAAAGGCAGTGACTGGAGGGGTCTAGGGCTGTGCAGCCAAGCTGGGGTGAGGAAAACCCAGCTGGGCAGACAAGAGGAGCCTGGGGCGGAGCAGGGAAAACCCCACGAGGTGCCACAGCTCTGAGGCCCTGGTTGGAGCAGTGAGGATCTGTTCCCCTGCCTCCTCCCACTGTCCTGCAGGTCTGACAGGTGCAGAGAGGATGCACAGGCTTTGCTGCCTCAGCTGTGTAACAGCCCCAGGGCAGGGCCAGCCTGGCTGAGCTGGCACAGATGGGAGGCGGGGGGAGTAGAAACTAGCCTTCTTCCCTGCAAGGGGGATTAGCTGGGAGCCATAAGGCATCCTGGGATGCCAGAGGAGAGAAAACTAAGGTGATTTGCAATGGGATCAGGACATAGGCAGAGGGATAAAATATTGTTTGTGGTGGCTGAGTGTACACACACCTCACCCAGCAGGTAAGTCTGTGGAGGGGAAGGGGTGGGGAGAGAGGGATGGGGCACAGCAGGTCAGATTGAGGCCCCCACAGTGAGGGAGGGTGTGGTGCAGGGGCTGCAGTGAATGGGGCCCTGAGGCTGGGATGAGTCATGGGACGGTTGGGGCCTGGGCACCTCATCCAGAGGTGTGTGTGGGGTGGGGGGCTCCTGCTGTTGCGCGCACCCTGGGAGAGGCATGGAGGACATGTGCCCCCTGGATTTGTGCACAGGGTGGAGGCAGGCTGCTGCTGGAGGATGGGGCTCTGTGCCCTGCTGCCTTGGATGCTGTGTGCAATGCCATGTGCTTGCCACCACTTGGCAGGCAGGGGATGCAGCACAACCTGGCCGTGGCAGAAACATAGCATCACATGGCTCCTGAGACAGCGGCAGTGGGGTTCAAAGCCCAGCATGCAGCAGGCGGCCAGCCTCATCCCCATGCACATATCTGGGGGACAAATGCCCCCGTGCCACCCCTGGGGTGCATGCAGTGCCGGGAGTCCCTCCACGCCCCTGGACAAGGACAAGCCACCTGGGCTTCGACCATCTCATGACCCACCCTAGGGCTTCATTCACCTTAGCCCCTGCCCCACACCTTCCCTCAAAGTGGGGGCCTCGATTGCCCCCCCCCACACCCCTTCCGCTTTCCAGACTTTCCTGCTGTGGTGGGCAGTGCTTAGGGTTACCACATGTTCAGTTCCAAAAAAGAGGACACCCTGTGTTGCTGGCTCAGCCATGGTTCTTGAAAGGCCCCTTCCCTTGCTGGAGGGGGCAGGCACTGCCCCCCTCCCAGCTCCCCTGCCCTGCCACAGCCCCAGACTCAGCTCTCCAAACCAGACTTACCTGCCTGCAGCTCCTGGGGCGAGTGTAGATGCACTTACCTGCCTGCCGCTCCCTGCCTACAATTGCCTCTCCCCCTCCTCCCACCAAATGGACAAAGCAAAAACTCAGACATTTGTTCAGATTTGAAAAACCCACCCAGAGGGAGACAGGAAGACTCAAAATGAGGACATGTGTAGGAAAACCCAGACGTATGGTAACCCTACCAGTGCTCCTCAAGCTGCTGGGGTGAAATCCTGGCTGCATGTAGGCTGCAGCTGCATGGCTGTTTCTGTGCACGTTCCCTGCTACACCCACTGGAGCCTGTGCCTGGGCTGCCCTGTGGCCCTCTGCACTGTCACCACTGCACCACCTCTTGGGGGGCTTAGCCCTGTTAGCCCAGCCTTCTGCTGCCTATGGATCTGGGACAGAAATTTGTTAGACCAGTCTAACCTAAACTGATTAAATCTGATACTATATCCTTCTAAGTCTATCTTAAACTGGGTTCGGCCATTTTGAACTTCTGTTCTGTTACCAGTTTAGACCGGTTTCCAATCACTTGTACCGTTTTATGTGTAATTTCTGTCTCCAGCTTGCAAGTAGTAGTGCTTTTGTAATGTTATAAGATTCAGCCATCTGTCTCTTTATTCTCTACTGACTAGAGTTGTATTTGTATTGCTGAGGCAGATGTGAAGGGGTCTGTGTACTGTTTCCTCCATCATTTGGGTTTATCTTGATTTTAACTAAAGGTAGCTATAAATCTATGGCTACTGTGTCATAACTGTTGTTCTCCTTATATCTCTTTTTTAGCATGGAGGAGTGTGAAGCGCTCTGCACGCGGCTTGCTATTATGGTGGATGGCAGTTTCCAGTGTCTTGGTTCTCCCCAACACATTAAAAACAGGTACCATCTCTTGGCAACCTTCTGCAACTAAAATTCACCAAGGAGATTTCTTAGATGTTTTAATAATGTCAGTATAGTGTAAATACCATTAAGGGCAGAGCACTTTTTTTCTTTCCTTCAGCTAGGACCTCTTAAAATAAATTAGGATATCTTGGCAAAATAATGTGATGTATGGCCTTGTAACTGGTCACTCTTGAGCATAATTCTGTTCAGAAAGTCTGTACAAAAAATCAAGCCCCTGTTTTGTTCAGCTTGAACTGTGGGCTGTGCATAATTTGAATCTTGCAGTATTTGGAAATAACTTTCTGTTCATTGCATGTATTTTCTCTTGCCAAAAGAAGGAGGTAACAGAATGCTAACATGTTAGCCACCCATCTGTCCTAATGCTCTCTTCAGCTATTTTCAGCAGTATTTGCTGGTGTTCACATCCCTCAGAATTGAGCCATATTTATAAATAATGATGCTTCTATTTTACCTTTTCCTGGACTAAATATGCTCAGGGGATGGCTGCACAAGCGTGTTCCTGAAAGGCAAAGTAGGGTCCAAATTTGCAGAACACCCCAGTTACACTGCAGTAACTGCCCTGTGTGCATTCTTTTGCCATGCAGTAAGCAGGTGGTAGCCTGTTCCTCAAAGAAAGGTTGGGGGTGAGGGGAGGAGCTCCCTTGAATTTACCACAGTTGCTTTTGTAACTACATCCTTGGTTCTGATTTACCTCAAACATAATCTCTGGCAATAGGGAGATTATAAAGAGGACACACAAAAAATAACATCAAGCAAATAAAACATTATATAGTCGGGGTAAACTTCAGCCTGGAATATTAACATTAAATGTTAGAATAAGCTTCAGGGCCAGATCCTCAGGTAGTTTCTCACCTTTGGAGTCAGTGAAGCTATGCCACAGTGAAGCTGAGGCCTGCCACTATGAATATAAATATTTTGAATGCATATGAGCAAGCTGTCCAAGCTTTGAATCACCATCTATCCACTCATGTTTTTGAATGAATGTAATGGACTTTGGTAAATGTGATTTGGCACCTAAAAATCTTTTCACACCAAGTACTGGTGATCAGTGAGGTGGCTTAGAGTCTGTATCCAGTATGCAAAATCAAGGGTAAATACAGTAAAGGCCCATATTCAATTTTCTTTTTCTCTAAGCCTAAGCTTTTCCATATATACTTTAATCACCGTTGACAGCCCAGTTACTTCTGGGCCAGGGCTATGGGGAGATGACTGTCCTTTCTGCAGTTTTGCCTCACTTTTTCCTCTGTTGCCAACCTGTTAGCTTTCCTCAGCTCACTCTATACACTCTGACTTCTCATTGAACAATCACCCTTTTTTAAGTGCTCATTCCTCTAAGGATGAGTATCTTCTTCCTGATCCTGGGTTCCACTCTTGGATGCGTCAGTTGTCTTTAGTTTGGCTGCAGCTAGGTAGGGGTATTCTTCAATACACAACTTTCCCATTGTTTTGTCAAGCATTTTTATTTGGGGTGTCATTTGCTTATTTGATCTATACCTTGGCAGGTAAGCCACCATAAACATATCATATTATGTTCATTATATTCGTGAAAAAGGCCAATATTGCCCAGTTGGTCATGCCTTCACTAGAGATGCATAAACTGTATTTAGATAGCTAGTAGATGCCATTTACCAGATGATTTGGAGGTAAGGAAAACAATGCAGAGCAGTAAGCTACATGACATGTTGGAAGTTCCAACTCTAATGATATCAGGACACAGGCAAATCAACAGATCTGAAATGAAGGCTGCACAAACTCCTCTTTCAAATGTCTTCAAAGCTGGATTGCAATAGATATTCGCAGATAAGAGTGCTTGACAGCCTAGATCCATTGTCATTATTCTTCCCAAATTAATTTTTTAATTGGAAAAATCATTTGTGTGCTAAGAACATTCCACATTAGCAGCAGGTTTGTGTTCCTTATATTTGCCATGAGAGTTCTTTAAATAAATGAATGTTAATGGCATTCCTCTGGGATCTCATGAGATGTGCACTGGTTATCAATATTACTGAAGTGATGATAGTGAGTCCATAGTTAAAGCTACATTAAGACTTTCACTTAAAACAGGATTAAATCCCTTAAGATCACAGTTCATTGATTGAATTTAGTCTCCAAATTTACCACACTTATTGTTCAGAAACCTATTGAGTTTTCTAACCCATTTTTCAGAGTACATAGTCACCAACTTTACTAGAGGAATTAATTAAAATAATCCAGTTCTCAAAATTAGGTGCCTGAAGCAGAGCCTACCATAGTTACTGCACACAAAAGGATGTATTAAAATAATATTGTGGGTAGAGGTTACTTTAAAAGTAATTTTAAAAGTAATTTTAAATGTAATAAAAGTTATTCCCCTTCTTCATCTAAACCGTTTTGATCTGTGCTTAGGAAAGCCAATGGGCATTCCCATATCCACCATGAATTTCAGTTTACTGCTGCTTCCTCCCTGCCCTGCTTCTCTGGCTTCCTAGTTTCACACCAGACACACAGATCCCGTTAGCTCCTGACCCTTTATCTTTCAGCCCGATATCCCTTGTACGTCCCAAAGTGTCACAGACCTGATCAGGGTCATTACTAGGAGATTGACAAACCTCCTAAGGTGTGCTAGTATGAAGTTCTCTCTTTCTGTGTGATTGAATTTAGTCCATATTTAGCACAGTTACCATCTAAAGAACAATTGAGATATATATATATATATATATATA